GCAACTCTCTTCCTCATTGTCCTGGCTGAGAAATGGGTTTGTTAGGGTGTTTTCTTGCCCGGGAAATAGAGTTGTTGCGGCATTGTCCTGGCTGAGAAATGGGTTTGTTAGGGTGTTTTCCTGCCTGAGAAATGGAGTTGTTGCGGCATTGTCCTGGCTGAGAAATGGGTTTGTTAGGGTGTTTTCCTGCCTGAGAAATGGAGTTGTCGCAGCGTGTCGATACTTCTTCCCTTAAGCGTTCGGATCCCGACTTCGTTTTGCCTCCAGGTCACGAAAACAACACGCACCTTGTCCTCGAGCTACAACTGCAGGGGAGCCCCAAATTTCTATGGCTATGGGAGACATTTGTGAGGGGAGCTTTGCCCCATTTTATGACCTTTCTTGTCACCGTCATTGTTCAAACTATCGTGAAGTGCATCCGGTTTCCCCATTGACTTTGCCTGTCAAATGATGAATCACGTGACCCCAGGACATGGCAACCGTCGTAAACATGAGTCAGTTGCCGAGCAGCTGAATTTTGATCACATGACCATGGGAATGCTGCAATGGTTGTAAGGGAGGAAACTGGCCTTAAGTCAGTTTTTTCAGCACCGTTGTAACTTTGAACAGTCACTAAATGAAGTGTTGTAAATTGAGGACTCCCCATAATTTTTGTTTCCCTTTCTTTAATGGAGAAGTAACCATCGCAGACATGCAGAATGTTTTCTATTCTGGTGTCCTCGGCGTGTCTCCTTTTTCCTTGGCCTGCCAAAAGAGGCCTGGGGGAGTGTCAGCCAGGGGTCTTCGTCACCCTTCCTGGAAGCCGGTGATAAAACTAGGTTCTCATTTGTGAAAATCTTCATCTTTCCCAAGGACAGCGGGATCGTGCCCCCCCCCTTTACCAGAGTTCCCCAATGTTTCTGGCTTTGCCGACTGGCCGGGGGAGGGGGGAGAGGGAATGGTTCCACACGAGTGGCCAGCACGCACACGCATTTGCGCAACCAGTGTACATACGTGTCCAGCGCTCGCTAAATGGAGGGTGTGCACATGTACTCACGTGCTGTTTCCATGGCCCGGTTGCAAACCCCTTGTGGCCCACACTTTGTGGCAGTTGTTCCTTCATAAATGGCTCTGGAATTGATACGATAAAATAAGATACAAGGTGAGTATGAGATAGAAAAAGATGGCAAGATATGTGGTGGATATGCGGCAGGGCTGGGTTTCAACCGGTTCGCACCGGTCCCTGCGATCCGGTTGGTCGCCGAACCCNAACAGAGGCAGAAGGGACCCTGGAGGTCTTCTAGTCCAACCCTCTGCTGGAGCAGGAGACCCTGTATCATTTCAGAAAAATGGCTGATTGGTTTCTTCTTTGCCACCTCTGGTGAGGGAGCAGCCACATCGTCCAGTGGCAAGTTGTTCCACTGATTAAAAGGGAGGGATGGAGGGAGGGAAAGGAAGGAAAGAAAGAGCAGGAGAGAGGGAGGATGGAAGGAAGGAAAAAGAAAGAGAGAGAAAGGGAGAGAGGGAAGGAAATAAAGGAGAAATGAAAGAAGGGCAGGAGGAAGGGAAAGAAAGAGAGGGAGGGAGGGGGGGATGGATGAAAGAAAGAAGGAAAGAGAGAGGGGGAGGGTAGGAAAGAAAGAAAGAAAGGAAGGAAGGAAGGAAGAAAGAAAGAAAGAAAGAAAAAAAGAAAGAAAGAAAGAAAGAAAGAAAGAAAGAAAGAAAGAGCAACACCAGCGGTGACCCCCGACTTCTCCATCGCCCTTGATATGGGACACCCCCGCCCTCCCTCGGCAACCCCTCCCCGCTGCTCCTCCGCTGCCCCGCCCGCCCGGCTCTCAGGCTTCGCTTCCACTTTCACTTTGACAGAAGTCACGTGCTTTCCGCGAATCGGCCAGCGGTGGGGCGGGGAGGGAAGGGGGCGACTCTTGCGCTCTCGGTCCCGCGATCGTCCGCCAGGCTGATTCGCTGCGCGAGCCTCCGTCCGCGTAAAGTGCCTGCTCTCTCTATGTGTCTCTCTCCTGGATCCGGTAGGAAGCTCCTTCGGGTTGAAATGGGTCTGGGGGTGGCTCAAGCGGGGGAAAGGGGGGGTGAAGAAGTCCCCGCCTCCCTTCCCAGGGCTCCGTGGCTTCCTGGCGCAGCTGCTTTGCTGCGCACTCGGGGAGGAGTCTGTTAGGACCGAGGCATATTGGGTAGGGGTCTTCTCCCCCATCCCGGAGGAGGGGGTCCTGGGAGCCTGGCGCACCCCGCTGGAGTCCCTCCAAAGATCCTGTAGCCGCTTTACAAAGGGGGCTGTGGTGAAGTCCCGAAGATGGGGAGGACAGGAAATTGGGTCTGGGGTCTCTTAAGGCAGAGGGTGCTAGAGACGGATTCTGCTGGGCTCTGGGTCTTGCTCCTCCAAAGGGAGCCTGGCGGAGCGGCTGTGGGAGTCACCGAGGGAGGCTGGCTGTGCAACTCACTGGGTACCGTTGGAGGGGGCAGCCCACCCCATCGAGAGGGTCCTCAGAGCGCAGCCGTGTCCTCCTGGGATGGGCAGACCCTCCCCTGAGCCCCTAACTCAAGCAGGAAGAGAGAGAGAAAAAGAAAACAGCTTTGGGTTCTGCTTTCTCCCCTCAGGGATTTTGAGGAGGGGGAGATCTGAAGTGGCCTTGGAGGAGGGATGGACGCAGCCGAGAGAGGTAAAAATCCCAAAGTTCTCCCGGATCTTTCTCTGGAAACTCTGGAGGAGGGGGAGGAGAGAAGAAGGGGGGGAAGGGAAGGAAGGAAAAAGGCATGGGAAGGAAGGAGGGATGAGGAAGGAAGGAAAAGGGAAGAGGGAAGGAAGGAAAGAGGGGAGGGATGAGGGAGGGGAGGAAAGAAAAAGGAGAGGAGGGGGAGGAAGGAAGGAAAAAGGAGTGAGGAAGAAGGAGGAAGGGGAAGGAAGGAAAGAAAAAGGAGAGGGACAGGAGGAAGGGGAAGGAAGGAAGGAAAAGGGAGGTGACGAAGAAGGGAAGGAGGAAGGGGAAGGAAGGAAAGGGGGAGTTGAAGGAAGGAGGGTGAGGAAGGAAGGAGGGTGAGGAAGGAAGGAAAGAAAAAGGGGAGAGAGGGAAGAAAGGGGGAGGGGAGGGAGGAAGGAAGGAAAGAAAAGGGGAGGGAAGGAAGGGGGAGGGAAGGTGAAGGAAGGAGAGGGAGGGAAAGAAGGAAGGAAGGAAAGAAAAAGGTTATGGAAGGATGGAAGGAGAGGGAAGGAAGGAGTGTTGAGGGAGGAAGGAAGGAATGAGAAAGAGGAGAAGGATCAACAGCATTCCAGGGCTACAGGGGACGTCAGCATTTTGGTAAGATTGTCTTCCAAATTCCCAGGTGATCATGAACTCCGGCTGATACTGGTTGGAAAGTCTGGAGGTGGGAGGAGTGCCACAGGCAACACCCTCCTTGGCCGGAAGGTGTTCGAGTCCATCTTGAGTGCAAAAACCACCACCCTGAAGTGCCAAAGCGGGCAGGGAACCTGGCAGGGCACGAAGATCACTGTGGTCGACACGCCAGCCATGTTTGATGCTGATGACTACACAGAGATTGTGCGACGAGAGATCATGGCTTGCATTCAGCTCTCCTGGCCCGGCCCCCACGCCTTCATCTTGGTGACCCAAGTTGGACGCTTCACTGCCGAAGACGCGGCCGCCGCAAAATGTGTCCGGGATATCTTTGGGGCAGAATCCACCAGGCATATGATTGTCCTCTTCACCTGCGTGGAGGATTTGGGTGGAGACCCCCTGCAGGAGTACGTCCGAAACTCTGACAACAGGAATCTATGCGACCTGATCCGGCAGTGCAGGAACCGCTTCTACGGGTTCAACAACAAGGTCACAGGAGCCAAGCGGGAGAGGCAGGTCTCGGAGCTGATGGACATTGTGCAGAGAACCGTTTTCCAGAATGGCAGGAGATACTATGTCAACCGGCTATACCTGGAGCCCAACTTACGGGATGAGCACATCCGGATGTTCATAAAGCAGAACCAAGAGCAATACCGAAGAAGCATCAACCTACTTTGTCTCCTTACATTCTGTTGTGCCCTTTGCGGATTGGCATTGTCCTGGCTGAGAAATGGGTTTGTTAGGGTGTTTTCCTGCCCGGGAAATGGAGTTGTTGCGGCATTGTCCTGGCTGAGAAATGGGTTTGTTAGGGTGTTTTCCTGCCTGAGAAATGGAGTTGTTGCGGCATTGTCCTGGCTGAGAAATGGGTTTGTTAGGGTGTTTTCCTGCCTGAGAAATGGAGTTGTTGCGGCATTGTCCTGGCTGAGAAATGGGTTTGTTAGGGTGTTTTCCTGCCTGAGAAATGGAGTTGTTGCGGCATTGTCCTGGCTGAGAAATGGGTTTGTTAGG